GTGTTGTAATAGGATACAGAGGTTAGAAAAGGGGTATATTCTGGTATGTTACGAGAACATTTATGTGGCTTTAAAAAAAAATAGTGTTTCTTGTGCTACTAAAAAGTGATTGTCTAAACTTTCCTGCGTCTTGGGAATCATGAATTCTCCAGTCCTAGCAAAATGCATGAAAAAGGGAGGGAGACAGTGAAGAACTGTGAACTGGACAGATTTTCACCTTTTTTTTTTTAATAAAACCCAATTAAAAAAAGCAGGAATTTAAATTATGAGTAATCTATCAATCTGAGGTGTGAGCCAGAACACCACAATGATGCTGTCTTTGGTTTTATGCACTACTAGTGATTTCTGACGTGTTGGTTACGGAGGGTGCTTAAACCTTTTGCAGTGGGCCCTGCGGATTTGTCGTGGCAGTGTTCATATGCTTGTGACTAAGTGCAGAGGACAGTTTGTTGGGTCTGAGCTCAGCAGCCCTAGGGAAGCAGATGGCTCCCTGAGCTGACTGCGTTAATAATATAGGAGCCAGAGGATAAACATTCTTTTTGTGATTACTTCCAGGTTCTGGGAAAGATGACCACTCTCACACGGCAGGACCTTAACTTTGGGCAAGGTAATGTGTTGTGCTATGCTACAAGCTGGTACGCTTGCAAGGCTTCTTGTTGGCATATGAGCTTGTGGAATTGTTGTTGGAGGGTTGCTCTGTCCCTAAACTTGCAGCTAAGGGGAAGCAGGTGAAATTTATGCAGGGAAAAATACCTTAAAAAAAAAAATAATCCTGTGAGTATATGGTATTGCTCTGCACGCTTCCCCCTGCCCCTGCTTCAGCATCTTTTACTTTTGTGTTTCAGTTGTTGCAGATGTTCTTTCAGAATTTCTGGAAGTGGCTGTTCATCTTATCTTATATGTCAGAGAAGTTTACCCTATCGGGATCTTTCAGAAGAGGAAAAAATACAATGTACCTGTCCAGGTAGGAGATTTTCCTGGAAGCTGACAGCCATGTGGACAAGCAAAATAGTGGGGATCAGTCAAAACTCACCAGAACAAACTAAGTCACTTCCAGAATTTGTTTTAATGTGCAAACTCATTTTTGAAGAGAACTTAGTTCCTGTCAAAAGGGAAAACAGCCCTGTAGCTGAGGATATGGCAGCACTTATGGAACAAGCAGATCACGGACAATAGTAGTAGGCGGCTTCCCCAGCTATGTGTAGTAAGGTAACATGAAAGCATGCTTCCTAGGAAGCAGAGATGGTTGGAATATACTATTCCCAATATGCTATTGTGGGTATATATTCCCAATATGCTACAAGCGTGTGGGTACAGTGATCTGCCACAGCTAATTCACCCTTCCATGAAAGAATTACTCGTTTGAGTTGGCAACTTAGTGGTGAAAAATTCTATCTGAAGCATGACTCAGGTGCCTTGTAACACATTGGTGCTTCTGTTTAACTCTTCTCATTTAGCATTGTCCTGGTTCACATCAGAACACAGCTCTGACTATTCACTGTATTTGCTACAGATGTCCTGCCACCCGGAGCTGAATCAGTACATCCAGGACACACTGCACTGTGTAAAGCCGCTGCTCGAGAAGGTAAGATCATACTGGGGACCTGGCCAAAAGTACTGCAAGTGGTTTTGATAGAAAATAAGAGAACATAAATACTGTCTTCATTGTAAAATTTATTTATAAGTTTACCATACACAATATACTAGCTGATAAAGTTACTAACAAAAATAACATCCATAGCCTTTCCTTGCAGTTAAGGCCCAGCCTTGCTGCTGATCATTGGCATGTAGTTGCATCTAATACATGCAAATGAGGATATACAGCTCTATATTTTCAGTTACATCATCCTACACGTTAACTTTCTACTTTTGAATACATTTAAGTTTAAGCACCTATCTGGCAGAATAGTTTGAATGCTTTGCTGTAACCCAGCAAGCAAAGGTAGGTTTGAACTCGAGGTTTTGTGAGAGAAAGGTGTGACCATATGAAACATTTCAGGATGTAGGATACTGGCAGATTTTGCATTCTCTGCTCTTTACAGACAACCTAATGCACATTTAGAGAAAGGAAATAGGTCAGTTTTACATTGCGGTAGTACAAAGCTGCTATATTTGTCCAACAGTCTAAGCATGTCTTAACTTCCTCATCATTGTCCATTCCCAAGTGATGCAATAAGATAGCTGTACTTTTCCTCCTTTGTTCCAAAACAGTATCTAGAGAAATGTGCTATTTAGTGCACTTCATCTCCCTAGGCCTTAGCGATGAGCTATCAGTTTAACATCTAGCAAGAAAGGGCTTTGCAAAAGCATTTTTTTCTGATCGGTAATAGTAATCTGACAGTGCTCAAGCTTTGGATAACTGCTAGTGCTGAGAGCCACAACAAATAAGCATACTCCCACTTTATCAGAAGTATGCGAAGCACACTGGGGGCAGAAGACAGCTTGTTTTAAAGGAAGGGATTTTTCTATCTTTGTTCTTGCAGAATGATGTGGAGAAAGTTGTAGTTGTAATCCTGGATAAAGAGCACCACCCTGTGGAGAGATTTGTCTTTGAGATCACCCAGCCACCTCTTCTTTCCATTAGGTAACGTTTCCATTACTGCTTGCCCATGGCATCCAACACCTGCCTCTGCAGAGGTGTTCTGGAAGCAGCTCCAGGCTCCAGTACTTTGCTGCATGCCAGTAACAACTGTCTCCTCAACAGTTCAGAGTCCCTGCTGTCCCACGTGGAGCAGTTACTGCGTGCCTTCATCCTGAAGATCAGTGTGTGCGATGCCGTGCTTGACAACAATCCCCCAGGTAAACATGTCCATACAGCCTGACAGCATGGCGTTGCTTGACTTGAGACAACAATAGGTAGTGTCTGATCCTCTGTTAGTTGTCCCCTGATCTGGAGCCTACCATTTCTCTTGCAGGTTGCACCTTCACAGTTCTGGTTCACACACGGGAGGCTGCCACACGGAACATGGAAAAGATCCAGGTGATAAAGGTGAGCGATATCTTTGGCTACCTGATTGCGTGTGAGCAACCTGCAAAGACTGGAAATGCAAGAGTGTTGGCATCTTTAAGGTTAAGGCTGCTAGATAATGTTAGCTTTACATGATACACTTCACAACTTTGCTTTGAATGTGTTAAAATGGTTTACACTGGTGAGGTGACTAAGCACATTCACCACACACCAGCCACAATTGCAGACCATAGCTGCTTCAATGCCTGAATTAGATTGTAACAATACTTACTGCATAAGGCCTGCTCAGTCACTTAAAAGTACTCTGACATATAGAATAGGTACTTGAATTTAAGTAACAACCCCACCCCCCATCCACTATGTGTGGATGATTGATTCTTTGTAAATAGCAAGGAAGACTAAGATTCAAGTAACTAGCGGGTTTTGGGTGCACAAATATGTTTTATCTTGCAGGAAAGTGCGTGCAGATCACTTTTTAAAGCAAGATTTTTTTTTTAAGAATCCTTGCTTAGGTACAGGGGAACTTTTTTCTCTGAGCCAAGTTATTTTGGGTGTCCTAAGGCACAATATAAATAAAGCTAATGAAGTATAAAATTGTTTCAAAATGGAAGTCTGCTCTGTACTGCTTAGTAATGGAAACTGGTAGTATAGTAGGCCAAACTTGCAAGGCAGGACAGAAATCCATGCCCTGAGCATTTTGGAGTTGCAGTTCAATGCTGGTGTAACGAATATAACATGCTAGCTCAGGACAGCTAAGAGTATATCTTTTAAAGAAGTGAGATGTCACCTTTGGAGTAAGTAAAATGGGTTAACCTTACAGTTTGATGCTGTAATTAAAGATAATTATGCCGAGTCTCAGAGCCAAGTGTGCAAGTGTTAAGTTTTGCTGTTATGGAAGGTTTGAGTTACCTGTTTCTTCCCTCAGCCACTAGATCTCTCATTCACTTAATGCTGACCTAGTGCTGAGAAAGAGAGCTCACCTTACAGAGTCTGCCAGCCTCTCTGCAAATAAAGCACCTTGTGTTGCTGCCCCTAGGATTTCCCGTGGATCCTCGCTGATGAACAAGACGTGCACATGCATGACCCCCGGCTTATTCCCCTGAAAACTATGACATCTGATATCTTAAAGGTGAGCAGAGCATTCTGGCCCAAGAGGTGGCTGAAACAGCACATACTTTAAGCTTTGTCTACTCCGATGCTAGCTCTGCAGTTTTCTGTAGGGTAACAGTTTTAATATTGCTGAGCACTATTATTGCTTAGTCTTGCAGATGCCTGTGCCAGTAATGAGAACAGGGCAAGACTCCTCATAATAAAATAGGAAACCTGGTTATGGGGGAAGGTACAAACTCTTCCTATTTAGCCTGTTGCAGACTTTTTTCCCATTCACCTACCTCCACATCAAACAGAACTGATGCTCGTTTCTCTCCTCCAGATGCAGCTATATGTAGAAGAACGAGCCCACAAAGGCACCTGATTTCAAGTCTTCCTTGCCTTCAAGCCTCATCTGATCTTCCAGTGGAATAAGATATCTCACAAACCATACCTTGATAACCATCTCTTCAGCTGGCCTTCTGGGTGAATGTAGAGCAGCTGCTGCCTCTTTATTTCAAGTGCTCTTACCACTGTATATAGAACTGACTTGGAATGTGGAGCCAGAGCCTGTTCCCATGTACACTCGTGAGCGAGTGAGTATAGGTTTTGTTACAGTGAATCCCTGGGGGCAGGATACAGCCAACTGCAGTACGCAGTCAGCGCTTTGTACAAATCCACTTCTCACCTTAACAGGGCATCGCCATTGCACATCGGCAGCGATACACAGCCATCTGTTATATGCTCCACTAGAGCAATGGACTTATACACTAAGGGTGAGTGAGGCCTTATGTAGTGTCTGTCCACTGTGACTGTCCCAAGTCGTCTTCAATAAATATTAAGTTTTACCCCAGTTGAACTAGGCCGAGTTCTGTCCAAACCAGCCTCCTCGCTTAAGTGAGGAAGTACTTTTATTTTGTATGGAGCTTTGTATTTTACGTGGAGCTTCCACCACCTTTCCATACCTTTTCTGGAACATACGTGGGATCTGTCAATTCCTGTGAGAGGCTATGCAACCTTGGTCTCTACCCTTTCCATGGGAGAGCTTTCAGCATTGGCATGGCATTAAGCAAGGTGGAATTTGTCTGTCCAGCAAGGACACTTGCCAAATGTCCTACTCCTAACGGAGAACAGACAAGGGAAACACTGTTAATCCTACACCTGTCAAAGGAGATGGAAGGCGGCCTTAGTATTGGCTCTATGCATACAGGGGTAGAAGACATAGTTCATAGTATGAGCTGAGCTTGTTGGTCAGACAATTTGATAAGACAGCCAGTATAGTACCTCCCTGCTTCCTCCAAGTAAAAGTGCAAGAATGCTATAGATCCAGGTTGTGCGCTGCTTTAACATTTTATATGGGGTTAGACTGTTCAGTACAAACCAAGTACTTTGGTAGTACAAAGGTAGTATGGAAAAAGCCCAGCACAATCAAAAGGCACTTACATTGTAAGGTAGCCACCTTAAGGGATTCCTTATCTCCTGTTTCTCTAGCTGTTTATTCAAACAATGATGGGCTGTATTTGGACAGGGAAGGTATGTACCATTTTGATCATATACACTTACAGAAATGCTAAGGAATTAAGTACCAGTGACACAGCATTTATGAAAAAGGGTTGACAGTTTCCTTATGCTATGAAAGGTCTGGTGTGAAAGATACATGTTTTTACACATAATTAAACTGAAACAGGAAAATACCGTACAAAGCAAGTCTTTCTGTAGCAGAGCCCTTGAGGGCAGCTGAGTGCACATGAGACCACCTGGTTACAGTCCTGAGGTAAAAGCAAACACTTCTATTGCGCCTTCATAACAATGTCAGAGGCCCAATGGTGATGCTGCTGTTTGTCACTCGGATCCCATACCATCCTGCCCAGAATTGGGTGTCTTGGCCTCCATGCTGAAACCAGATGTAACGAACTCCAGCTGGGTAATTCTGGAAGGTGTGAGAAATCTGGAGAGAAAGAAGAAAATTCCTCTTAATTTGCCTAAGTAAACCAGCACTGACCTAGAAGCTAGGACAACTACAGTATGGAAGTCTTGGTCTCAGGAAAAGCTCATTCTAAGATATCTTTATCTTTCATTGAAAGTGCATCATACCCGTTTTTGAGGGACAGGAAAAAAGCCTCTCTTATTCAACCTTCTGCCCCGAAATCCTCTCCAAGTCAAACATAACATTAAGCTTGATTCTTAGGTACGTTTCTCATGTAAGCAACAATGTAATGGAGAATCTACAGCCAGTCAAACCAGTTAAACACGTTTAGCAGTTTAAGAAAAGTAACATCAGCAATACTTTAAATTACATCCATGCAGTAGTTTTAAAACAAAGCTTTTTGATCCAATAAAAACAAGAACTGTGCTCTTGTAACTTAGTTATTTAGACAAAAACTTAAGTGAAAAACAGAAATAATTAAAGAGACTGAGCTAAAATAACACAGAAGCCTGGGGGATACTCTTTAGAAAACCCTGGGCACCTACAAACTGAACCTAGCTCTTTCATGGCACTACTGCTTCTTCAGCATTGTCAACAGCAAGGATTGACTTACCTTTTGTATTGAATAGAGGAGGCTGAAGAGCAGAGAAGGTAGGTCCACTTGGGACTTTTGGCCAGGTAAGACTTGCAAGATTCAAGTGTCAATACCGATGTAAAGCTACTGCCCACAGGGCTGCTGCTTACCTCTCTCCACATCGCATCATTCCACTGTTCTATAACCACCGGCTCGGGGTGGAAATCGTCAAGGACAATGTAGTCTTCAGAAAGCAGCCTCACTCTAAGTTCATAGCGACATCCACAGTCAAATCTGGCAGCATACCTAGAGAGGCAGGGAGTAATCGAGGAGCAAGGTTGTATATACACTGTTCAGTTTTCTTTAGTGTTTGAAAACAGTCTCCAAAGGGATCCCCATCTGCAGAGGAAAAGGAATGTCATCCCCATAGCTATGAAGAAGTTCTAAAACTTCCAGCTATCCTGCTCTTCACAGGATTGCCGCCTCCTTACAGCCCACTGAATAAACTTGGATTTAGCTTATGCTTTACTCAAGAGCTGCAACTCCCAAAGGATAGAGAACTGATTTTATAGCATGAAAAGCTTGAGAGGCCTAGCTTATCTCTAGGCCAACACCAGAAATTATAGTTTTTAGTGCATTACACTTACCAATCCTTGACTACAATTTCAGGCCGTTTCTCATCCATCAACTGATTCCAGTATCCTTCTTTCTGCAGGGTAATGAGTTGAGACTTGAAGCATGGCCTGCAACAGCAATAGAAATATTCACAACTTCACAAAACACATCTCTTCCCTCTCAATGTCCACACTGTGCCCGACAGCTTTACTTTTGCCAAAAGCTCACCCAGACCTTGAAGGCCCGCAAGACTGACATGGCTAAGGCATGCCTTTTTCCATAGCCAGAACTAGACAAGGTAGTGAACCGATTAGCTTCACTTCCAGATAAAAGGAATAGTTACCTACAAGCTGGATTAAGAGGGGTCCCTGCGCTTGTATAGCATACATTGGTAACAGGGAACTACTGTTTAATGGATGTAAAAGCAGCTAATCCTCCTCTGTTGACAGCTTTTATTGCAAGCTGTTAGTATGACAAACGCACCTACCACTCTTAGAGGTTACAGAGCTTTGACCTTGTCAGGTAAGTGCATCTGATGGGCTTGCCAAACCTTAACCTTTGCCCACCACCTTTGGTAGAAGAGAAGCAGAGACCCCATGTGGATTATCATGACTATAAAAAAGTGACAGGAAATACTTATAGCATGTGCCCCAATTAGTTCTCTCAGCAGTACACCTGTCTCTTTAGACTAACTAGTATAAAAGATTAATTAAGCGCCTTCCTTTTCCCACACATGCAGTAAGGTTCAGTGACCTGCCTCAAGCCTTCTACCCATAGTGCCTTTGCAGACAGACAGGAGGAAGCAGGTCTCCCAGTTCCAGATTACTAGGATCCAGTTCTTACCCGTACGAAGTGACAAAGTATTTGTGTACTTTGGGGTCTGGCATCTCTTTTCCATGAGGTCCAGGCATATCCTCAATCTTCCATTTATCTCCGTCGTTATCATCAAGTTTCCAGTGCTGAAAGTTCTCTAAAAACATAGATGTCAAAGATGAGCATTAGGACCTCACTTCAGTTTCCAGCAGTATCTTTGCTTTTGTTAAAGAATCAGCTACAGAAGAATACTAGGAACCTACTTTGATGAGTTTTCAGATACATTGTGTTCTTCCTAGAGCTGAAAGCGACTCCTGTCTTTATGTTGCCATTACTTTTAAGGTGGCTGCCAGCAGCTAGGGCAATAGGTAGCAAGTTTCTTACCACATCAGAAACTCATAATCAGTAATAAAGTAGAATTACTGTAGTTGTATTAATCAAGTCTTTGACAACAAAAATGCCCCAGCTGCCCAAATGTTTAATCCAAATACCTGATAGTTTCATTACCACATTGTACTTGCTGTGCAAATTAACCGTCACTGAGCGCAGTGCTGGGGCCTTAGCGACTCCTCTGGTCGCAACCACAGATACGTATTTACCAATACTTTGTCTACCCACGGCAGTTTTATTGCAGATGTTTACTTGTGGATCTTACCCAGCAGAGATCCATCAGTAGCCGGGGACAGTCCCACACCACCAGCAGCACTTGAGTAATGCAGGACACTGACTCATTCTGACCCTTACGAAACTCTCTTAGCTCTCTACCATAAATAATTAAACAAACCTTCAGCACAGGGGTTTTTGATTAAGTTTCTCTTCAAGTTGCAGAGCATATAGAAGACCTTCCAGTCAGAGATGCTTCTGTCCAAGTTCTGAATATAAAAGCCCTCGCGCTGGCACTTGCGTTTCCATAGGGTGGTCAGATCCACCACGTACCGCCACTGCGTGCTGACCAGTCTGCAGGTGCAGATCAGATCCTGGGCTGGGAGCAGCGAAAGCAGCTCCACCAGGACGTCTTCGGGGAGGTCGCAAATGGTTGTCATCTCGACCGATAGCTTCAGTGACGGGCCGCAGGGGTACGCGATGGAAAATCCCCGGGCGCCGACAGCACAGAGCTTCGGGAAATAAGCAGAGTTTTTACTAGTTACTAACAGAACTACACGACA